CTCCTCGATCCATCTTCTATCCGCCTCTCCCTCTCTCCCTATTTATTCAGAACCCCCATCCGCTCCCCCATTTCTGAAGAAGTGTCTAGGCTCGAAATGTCAGCCTTCCTGCTCCTCTGATGTTGCTTGGCCTGCTGTGTTCATCCAGCTCTACACCTTGTTATCTCAGATTCACCAGCATCTGCAGTTCCTGCTATCTCTGGGATCATATTTTCCCCTTTTACTCACTCTCAGTCATTTTTGGAGCAAATGTATGTGTGGTCCTTGACATGAGGAAAAATTGGTAAGAGCCTTCAGAAAAGCATCTTTTGACGTTTCTAGTTTACCACGTTTATTATAATGAAGACCTGTACAAATTTTATTCAGTCCTCAGGCAGTTATGGAACACAAAAGCTGTACACTAGAGAAATCATTCCAGGTTTGGAATGCTAAGAAGTTCAGGCAGTCAGAAAATATAAATATAAATTTATTATTATATTTTTGTTCTAAGTATACCTTTGAAATTTGAACAATGTACTTCTATTCCTGACAGATGTATTCATGAATGTATTATTATTTTTGTTAAATCGGCTAATTTAGCTTTATTCTTCTGTTTTTTAACAGCTGTAGGTATTCAGATGAAATTGGAGTTTTTCCAGAAGAAATTCTGGACTGCAAGCCGACAGGTCAGCTATTTATTATATCAGCATTGTGTTCCCAATTTTGCTGCAATCAATTTTTATTAGTTTTCAAATAAATTTTTAATTTTATAATCTTTGTATATCATCTGTTTATTAAGAACAGGCTACATTTGTTGCACTTTTTTTATAATAAAGACTTTGTAATTTTCAGTAAATTCTGTGTGACATAGTACTTTAAATCAAGCTATTCAAATTAACCTGTACGTGTGCATCATGCCATGTGACCTAACACGCATATAATAATTTTATTTTAAAGAATATGTAACATATGTTCTCAAAAGAAAACACAAATGTAATGCTGTGAGAACTGAAACAGTTGAATTTGCACAATAAATTGAATAGAGCATACATTAGCATATTATGTACTAAATTGCTTGGATTTTGCAGTCAGTAATAAAATTATAGCCGTAGCCATAAACTTCAATAGAGCTGCTTACAAAGGTCAAACAATATCTGCTGCATGGATTTCACCTTGCCTGTTGTTAATTTTGTTTCGGCGTCCAATCAATTGAATCTCCAGTATCCAGCAATCGTGATTTCTTCAAGCAAGCTAAACAACCAATCATACTGAAGAACTCTCAGAGAGACCAAATATTTTGCAGACAGTTAAACATTATGCTGGATTTTGTGGTCAGTGGCATAAAATGCCTTTGACTTCAAAAATAACCTCCTACAAGGTATAGCAATCTCTGTTGCATTAATTGACCTTTTCCCAATGGCAACTTTATTTCTGATAGTAAGTTGAGAAAATCTCCAGGTACCCAGTAACAGTGATGTCAAGAATCAAGGTAAGCAGGCCAATAACATTGAAGGATTCTCACAGATAGAAAACCAGAAGGTGAGAAGCACTGATCATCCTTCACTTTAAAATTTAACTATTCTGATATCAAACTAAATGAATATGATTGGATGAAGACAGAATCAAAAATATTTTAAAAACTTTTAAAATGTTAAAAATACCTGGAACTTTACCACAATGCAGACATTTGACATTTCAGAAATATTAAATTTGCTTCCCAGGGTCAATGAGGATGTTTCCAATAATTGCGATTATAGATATATTAGCTTGCCAGATGCACTTTATTCAACAGGATATAACTTTTTAAAGACTTTTTAAAGTGTAACTAACAGTATGAGCATTGATTCACTGATCAATTAACCTCAACAGGGCAACCTCTGAAAGATCATAGAATTACTGACAGTAACCTCAGAACTTCTACACTATATGTAAATAATGGCTAGAATCATTGGTGCATAGAGGAAACAGCTCCAAATGCTTGCAGATGTGCTCCATATAACCTCTCTACCTCTTTACAAATGAATCTGAAAAGTCAATGATGGTGTTCCAACCTCCCAACTTGAAACTGCCTCTGAGGTATTGTGACACTCTTGATGTGTAGGGTGCTAGGTTTCCATTCATAACATTACAGTATCAGAATAAGGGAGACTAATTGCCATTTTTAAATACCTTATCTGTCTTAGTATCACTGCCAAGTGATTAACCATTGCTGCTAAAAGCTCACCTCTGGAAAACTGTAAAAAGGCAGGAACATGTCAGCATGTCAGTTTGTGCACTGCATTCCAAATTTCTATACCTCCAAAGTAGCCTCTGCAGGACTGGGGAAAACTCTTCCCTTAGTCTGTCATGTACTCATTTTTAAAGTTTTTTTTTCAATGAAATATGAATACTCAACATATGAAGAAAGTGAATGAAAGTTGAATTATTTATTTTGTATTAAAAAATATGTAGATAGATTGGGCTGAAAGAAAATAAAATTCTGTATTTTTAGAACAGAGTAGCTACGTTAGAAAGGCAGGGAATCAAAAGAAATAGAAGGAATAAAAGGAGATACCAGGGCACATTGAATTAAATAATTGAAACATTTTTATTTTTATTTAATTTTTTTTTATTTTAGTTTAGTTTAATATTATTTAATACTACATGCCTAACAGAGTGATTAACAGAGGAACACATGTTAGGGAGTTCCCAGGTTCAACTCCAACTCTGAGGACAATGGTAGAACTTATACAATTGGATACAGACCTGAACCCCTTTCCCGATTTATATGGAGCAACACCATCACCACTCCACCTTTCTTACAGTAAATATCTGTGTCCATCAATATGAAATCCAACTGTAAGATAGAAATATGTTGCTGACAATCTCTGTTGAGCCTCCAGCATAAATTATGCCCACTTGAAAACATACCAGAGACCGTCTGGTTACCTAGTGAGAGAGGAAAGAGGAAGCTAGGAAGAAGACATGAAATGTATGTCTATATTATTCCAATGAAGCTGTTCCTGACATTTGAGTAGTTTTATTACTGAAATATTAGTCATTTTGTCAGTATGAAAATGCATGAACCAGAGCGTTGCAGAACCATCTGGTCCAAAGTGGTAATCATTTTCCTGGACTTGGCAGCAGTCTATGGGTTACGTCTGGCATTTTTTAAATGGAACATATAAACCCGTTAATAAAAGTGTCAGGACAACAATTCAAGTCTGTATTGTTGGAATTGTACAGGGAATGAAGGTATAAGTAAATGCTTCCTGATAGCAGAAAATATGCTGCATAGGAACTCATTCTGTACTCAACACTTCTTTGTTACATTACTGAAAGACATGCATTTGCGTTTTACCTTAACAATCTCCGTAGTATGTCAAAACCCTTCACATGTTGTGAATTAGCTTGAAATGGAAAAACATTAATGTTAAAAAGTAAAATTAAACTACCTTTGTATTTTAGAAAAATGTATGCAAAGTGGCCTGATACAATAGACTGTAAACTAAAGCCAAGATTGCTGAGATTTTGTGAGGCTGTCAGATGGGAACAGCAATACTTATTAAGTTCTTCTTAGTTATTTGGCCTTAACGAATTCTAGCAAGTTTAATTTTAAGGTGGAACCATCTACAACAACCCCATTCATACAGTACTGACACTGGGCTCAGCACAACACGAAATTACCTCAATTCTAAGCAAATGGCTTTGACTTGAAAAATTGGGCTGGATTTTGTGGGACAACCCCCCCACCAACTAGAACTTTGGGTGAGCCCAACTCCAATCTTAACAGCTGTCCCACCCACACACACCCCCATTAATAATGTAATTACTTGCATAATTAATAAGGTATGTAACATTTGGCATTTAATTTTTGGGGAATTTTGCAGATATGTCTTTGTTCTCCGTGTTTACATTATTACGATCTCTTACAGTGTGCGTCTCTTGATGGAAAGTGCACAATAAACTGTGACGATGAGGTTAGTATCTTTAATGGCTTTGTTAACCTATACTTAAAACATATGGGCCTAGAAATCGGATTATACAGTACCAATCTTACTGGTTTTTAGTACAGCAGTGTTTTCCTAATGAGATCCGCACACCAATTTATCATGGACCTGCAGATTGAATGTGTGCAGCATATGTTTAATTTGGCTCATCACAGACGAGATACAATTTCTAAGTTGTGGACTTCCAGCACTTTTTGTGTGAATTACATTATATATGTGTTATCTTTGAAAGTATCACATCTTTATACTATATATATAAATTAAGTGACAAATTGTATTGCAACATTTTGATAATTTTCCAACTATTTTTCTTAATTATTTGAATATTTTATATTTTCAGATAATAAATTGTTACCTCATAGATAACAATGGATTTATTTTGGTTTCTGAAAATTATGATGAGGTAAGTCTCCACCAAAGAATACTAGTTACACAGAGTGAAGGTTTGAGTTGAAGCAACTTCATGAAGAATTCTGCATATTAATCTGATATTTAAAATTAATTTAAATTAACTAGGAGCAGGTGGTCTGGTGAGGCACTGGAAAAGTCTCAAATTCAACAATGTCATTAGTTTGAGGGTGGCCTATTTTAAATCTAGGATTTTGTTTGCATCCTGCTGACCAACCACTCATTGAAAATGGGTGAAGAGGGCAGCGGGTTGGCTTCAAGCAACTCAAAATCATGCAAACTGATTACAGGCGTCTTTCTCAGTTGTCTGTTAAAATGCTATTAGGATCCTTAATATAATTCAATCAGCATGTTCCTGAGGTTGCAGCCTGGGTCAGACAGACATTTTGGCCATCAAACAAAAAGCTAAGGTAACATGGCAACAATTGTGGATTTAAAAAAAATTACCAGCATTGCTATTCTATTCCTATTTGGCATTTTGTGTTAAGAACATAAGAATTAGGAGTAGGAGTAAGCATTTCAGGCTCCTGTGTTTGCTCAGCAATTGAATACAATCATGGCTGATCTCAGCAGGGCCTTGGCTCCATTTTCCCACCTTCTCTCCATACCTCTTCAATCCATTATGGATTAAAAATCTGTCTATCTCCTCCTAAAATTTACACAGTGGCCCACTGTCCACCAGTCATAGAGTCATACAGCATGGAAACAGACCCTTCAGTTCAACTCGTCTATGCCGACAAAGTTTCCTAAACTAAACAAGTCCCATTTGCCTGCATTTGGCCCTTATCCCTTTAAATCTTTCCCATTCATATACCTGCCCAAATGTCTTTTAAATGTTGTAACTGTACCTGCATCTATCACTTCCTCAGGCAATTCATTCCACACACGAACCACCCTCTGTGTGAAAACGTTCCCGCTCTAATCCCTTTCAAATCTTTCTCCTCTCACTTTAAAAATATGCCCCCTAGTTTTGAACTCTCCCACCCTAGGGAAAGGACCTTGGCTATTCACCTTATCTATGCCCCTCATGATTTTACAAACCTCTATAAGTTCACCCCTTAACATCCTATGCTCGAGTGAAAGAAGTCCCAACCTATCCAGCCTTTCCTTAAAAGTCAAACCCACCAGTCCCAGCAATGTCCTGGTAAATCTTTCCTGAAACCTCTCCAATTTAATAATATCCTTCCTATAACAGGGTGACTAGAACTGTACACAGTACCCCAAAACTGGCCTCACCAACATTTTGTACAACTGCAACATGACATCCCAACTCCTATACTCAATGGTCTGACCAATGAAGGCAAGCGTGCTAAACGCCTTCTTAACCACCCTGTCATACTTTGACACAACATTCAAAGAGCTATGTACCTGAACCCCTAGGTCTCTCTATTTGACAACATCACCCAGAGCCCTACCATTAACTGGATAAGTCCTGCCCTTTTTTGTTTTACCAAAATGCAATACCTCGTATTTATCCAAATTAAACTCCACCTACCACTCCTCAGCCCGTTGGCCCAAATGATCAAGATCCCTTTGTAGTTCTCCATTTCTGCTTATGAACAGCTAAAAATACTGTTTGTATATGAGGATGAGATGAAGTTTACTAATCAATTCATAAAATATAATGATAAATAATTTACCCTTTTCTTTATAAGGTGCACCAAGTTAATTATCTGTGTAACTATGATAAATAATATAATCTTGTTTATAATTTAAACAATGTTGACATATAAATCGAGTCATTTTGTAATCAAATTCAAGTTTGTTACCAAATCAAAGCAACAAAAAACAAAATGTTTATCTGCATTTGAAACATTAAATGACTCAGAACAAACTCAGAGTATGCTGAAATTTGCAAATCAGCAAATTTCCTCTTAGCCGTTAAAATTGTGGTTTTAATCTACTGTGATTTCTTATGCAATTATAATCTAATGTTGAACTTTCAGTGCACAGACATCTTCGTGAGTGAAGTAACAGACTGTGACAGTTGTTCAGATGTTTCCAATACAAAATTATTAAACAATATATGCAGTTCACATTCCTAATTATAATTTCCAAATGTCTTGTCATTTTGTATCTAAGTTGTTAAAGTAATGACATTGGTTTAGGCAAGATTCATCCAGTCCTGCATTAACCCTATAATACCATCACTAATGAGTATTTTTATCTAAGTTTATGACAAGAAGCTGATTGAATAGTGAATGAGTGATGAGGAATTTGTTTTATCTTCCATGCCATATAACAAACTAGGGATATTTCTACTTACAGTTGTAGCTCTTCGATGTAAATTGGATTAAAAGAAATATTTTGTATTAAAGTGAAAGCAGTTGGATAGATTTGCCCAGTCATTGCTGCACCTCCTGACACACATATACAACCTGAACCTTTGCTGGTCCAGCTCCCCAACCTCTATCATCCATCCCATATTCACTCAGTCATCTCTCCCACAAACCTCCTTCCTTCTTTCCAAGGCCAGTTAGGCAGCTTGGTATTGCAGTGGCCTGAAGGATATCTCTCAAAATGGACTAAGCATCATGAGTGGGATGGCTAGGAGGCCCGGAGCACATTCCCCTCCAGATTGGGAAAAAAATTAACCCCATTATTTCTCACACCTAATTGAATCCTCAGTGCCTCCTGCTATGTTTTCTAATCTGTAGGACCCACCGTACCTGCTTTTGATCCCCATATAATCCCACTCTTGCTGCTCCCCTATTTGCTAATCTGCCTTTAGCCTTGTGCCACTGAACTTTGCCACTCACTTTCTTCTTTGAGGTGCACATTTGCTTATCGTTTTGCTGAAGAAAATGTAGCACCTTTCAGAATATCACAAGGAATTTGCAGCCAAGAACTATTTATTTGATCAAAGTCTGTGTTGTAACATAGGAACCACAAGCAACAATTTGTGTACAGCAAAGACTTCACATACAGTAATGCTATATGATCATTTTAAGTTTTGTAAGGGATAAATTTTAGCCAGTGACCATGTGCAGTCCCTGGCCCATTAAGGAATTGCTTGACTCTCCTTTATCGATTCCAGCCTTTCTGTTTTCCTACTTCTGATTGCTGACTAGTACCCCTTGACTTTCACCTACCTAATCTGGTGTTGCTGGATTTTTTGGGCATTTTCAGTCTTCCTCACATTCACACTGGAACAAAAGAAGAATGAGGATTCAGAAGTAAATATTAGAAAGAAAGTTCTAATGGAAGTATAATGCGAATGAAGGATACCACTGTGCATGATTTGTAATATTTTGTTTAATTTTTCAAAATTATGGTAAATATTTTTCTCAGTCAGTGACTCTGTGGAAGATTGTTTAATTTTTGAAGTGTCTTAGGTGATACTGCAGGCAAATTCAACATAAGAACTGTAATATATGTGTATAACATTAGCATGTGAAAGAATGGATTTAATTACATACAGCATCTGTTTCCACATGGAAACACAGACTTTTGAACCAAAATTTAAAACTTTTTTAATTCAAACCTGCTGTTGATTTTTTTATAGACACTCCTAAAAATTGAAGAATAAACATTACATTAAATGCAGAAAGCTCAAAATATTTGACATTGTTGAATAGTTAGATGATTCTTCAATATGTGCTCGCTTCCTGTTACCCAACCGCCAACAACAATCCCAGATAAAATTCAAAACAGAGAAGGGATTTTGACCGTGAATAAACTGAACTGCAAATTTCCGGTTGAATACAAAGGAGACAAAATTAGTATTTTCCGTCAATGTTAGAAGAAGCGAAATTGATCTTTATGCAAATACCCCTCATGAAGAGCAAATCCATCTGTTTCCTACTTCCAACAAATGTTGTGTCTTGATTTGGAGATTGTGTAATCAGATTTCCTAATGAAATAGTATCCTGTAAACAGGTTTCACATTTAATGAAGAAAACAGCACTTCAAATAAAACTAAAACAGCCTTTGTTTTTATTTCAATACTTATCAAGTTTCTTGGGTACTTTCCACAGCATTTTTTATATAATGTTGCTGAAGCATATCCAATATATACAGAGATAACAAGGTGTAGAGCTGGATGAACACAGCAGGCCAAGCAGCCTCAGAGGAGCAGGAAGGCTGACGTTTCGGGCCTAGACCCTTCTCCACCAAAAAAACCCCACCGAACTTATCTCCACCAAAAAAAAACCCGCACCGCCCGCATCTATCTCCTTCCCAAAATCCACAAACCTGACTACCCTGGTCGACCCATTGTCTCCACCTGCTCCTGCCCCACCAAACTTATCTCCACCAAAAAAAACCCAGCTCATCACCAATATATACAGTATTGATTATAAATCTTTCATTATTTTGATCAAATTGCAATGTATTAGACATTATTCTGAACAGCTTGTGTTCATTCGTATGGCTGACAGGATTGAATGGTTGAAATAAAAGTTTAATTATTGGCACAATATAGAGCAAACCCAGCATTATGACTTAGCAATTTGATCATCTCTCAACTCATCAAAGAACGTGATTTCCATTTGATCATAAGTGTAATTCCACTCAGGAGAATGGAAATTATTTAAAGAAATGCCTGAACTCCTTGAATTCACTTCAGTCTTAATCTTTTATGTTCAAAAAAGGTGTGGTTTAACATAATTAAATATCCAATGTGCTTTAATTGATTAAAAAAATGCATTAACCTATTTGAAGGGATTTTGCAAAGCAACAAGTTTGGTAAATTTATTTTAAAAAATGCACGTATAGCATTTTGTTATCTTCATGTGAACACATGGAAAAGTGATGTCAAGCACTTACTTAAATCAATACACCATTACCTTATAAAAGGTGGTGGGGCCAGGGTGGTGTTTGAGGGGGAAGAGAAATTTAAGTTCACTTTTACTTCCAGAGCAAAGCAGACAGGACTGGCTTTAAAATGATAGTGTTCAACCTATTGTTGCTTTTCCATCCTATTTATATGTTCTTGCTGTTGGACAACTGAGATTCCAATCAACTCAACCAGAAGCCTCATGAATTTAGGGTCTA